CTGCTGAACACCAGGTTTCAGCAGTAAAAGGCACAAGCAAGTCTAACTCTTTAGAAGAAAACCACTCTTATTTGAAAGTTTCAAGACGATTCTTATGTTTCAAGGGTTAAAGCTCAGCAAACTCAAATTCATTTAACTGTCTCAGTATGGAACAACTTCCAAATCTATATCGTCTTCTCCATTGCCCAATCAGTCCATTTTTTTAGTTCTTCATCAAGAATCTTCCCTTCTCCTCTTTCCTTTCTCTGCAGTTCAGGAAGAGAGACCCGGATTGGAAACTCCACGAGCCCAGTAATCCCCTTTCTGACACAGTATACACAATAGTGGATAACTTTCAGCCTGCCATCTATCTAAAGACCTCACAGTCCACAGCGGAGGAAGGAAGATGTAGAGACTATTAAATGACATATATTCCTCCAGCTCTTAACGCTAGTTGGTACCATTAGTTTGTATATTTTATTTGGCTTGATGTCTTCTTTCATTTACAGCACTTGCAAGATACAGGCTCTCGTTGTATTACACAGTATGTAAATTCCTATCGGTGTCCCACTGGTTCTCTCTTGACCAGGCTTCTCTATTACTTATTATGTCAACAGCCTAATTACATTTCAAATGAGGGCAGATGTTTCAGGTCTGTCTTTTGTTATTGTTGTAATGAACTAACATTTCAGCAGAAGCACATCCTTGTTTGCTATTGGTCTATTACTTCATAGGCCTTCTTTGAATGGGGCTTCATTTGTTGAAGCTGTTATTCCCTGCTTTCTACCTAAATACTATCAGTTGCTGACCTATCTTTGAGTATACAGAGGCTTTGAAAGTTCATCCTAGAGAATGAGTCATCTCGAAATATGAGTTTTATCAGACAGTTTTCTCTCGGCCTACCAGTCTTTCAAAATTGCACAAAAATAAATGCATGCAAAAGCACCAGACCCTTAAAAATACCTGAAGTTCCAGGACTGGCCTCTGCCATTTTCAATCTTGTTCAACAGTGCATAAATACCAAAAATTATCTCATGGAAGTCAGTGACCCCGCTTGCTGAGCAAGACACTATGAAGCCTGAATAAAGAGTGAGATGTTTGGACCTTATTTATCCTAAAATGTCTGAGACAATTTTTCCCCCAAAATACATGCCTGTCATTGGGATTATATTGTACATAAGGAGGCAATAGGGAAAAACTTCACTGCATGATAGCACACAGTCACAAACCTGCCATTTTCATACCTCACAGATCTGTACAGACAATTGGAGGTGATCACAATATCAGAGATGGTCAAGTTTTCCTATTATTAGGATTGTCAGTGGACAAGTTCAGTTTTAAAATGATTGTCGAAAGATATTTTCATCAGTTCATATTATCTATACCATGGTTTGCAAACATACTATGATTTATTGTAAGTTTCTGGCTCTATCTTTTCTTTATTACTCATGAACATATATATCGTTGCTATGAAAGAATATTTGAGAAGCATTCTTGAAAAGTCAAACCCCCAAATTTACTATACAAACTAGAATAATAATATTTCACTTCAGTATGCTGAGCGAAACATACAAGGACAAACTTACACTAGGCTAATCAAAATTGAAATTGTACACGCTTAATACACAAAAATATTTCTTTTTCTCCTGAAACAAAAAGATTTCTTTTTCTCTTGAAACAATGCCTGGTCAATTGTAAAGTTATTCCTTCATGCCCTTCGTTTATCTGCTGAAACGTGATGATAACTATAGGATGCAGTCATTTAAATCCTCTTATTGCACATCATCAGTGTAACAGTTATTATGGTAGTTGCTACAATTTTCCATTATAATTGTTGCTTACCTACAGTATTCAAGCATGCAGAGAATGTACAGCCTCCAGCTTTATTTTCCGTGAGAACTGTTCACAGTGACTTTATATCCCCAGTGGTTTTCTTTATTATCATATTTCTATTTTAGTTTAATGTTTTCATTCTTCCTGACTCATTTGCTTACCAGACACTTAAGAAGTATATTCCCACACTACACCAAGCAAACAATTTTTCCTTAAACAACCAGATATCAAACTTTGAGATGTATTTCAGCATACCCTGAACCAGATTCGTTCTGGTTCACAGCTGAACAGATAGATTCCTTCAGACAGATCATCCTTTCCATCCTTTCCTTTGTGAAGGCTCCCCAGTGCTTCAAGCCCAGCTACAACCCAGGGTGAACAATCTACAGTAAAAAGAATTTTATCCAGGTATTGAATATAAATTTGATTGGAAAAAGAAAAAAAAAACCCAGTAAAAAGTGATCTGCTTTCAGGATAGTTTTGTGGTAAAAATTATATCCAGACCTGCTCTTAATTCTAACACAACCTCTTTCATTGCCACAAAAATCTTAAAAGACCTATTAAAAAGTCTTTTTCTTTCAACTAGCATAATTATGTCTTTTCTGCTGCAGAAGTTGTCAGTCTTATTCAATAGAATGAATAAGAGTGATGACAGTCACACATCTGGCCTGCTGGTCCAAACACTGTAATCAAGAAATGTAAAGCAAGAAGTAAACAGTTTTCCTAATGTGTTGGAACCTTAGTACAACAAGAAGTGAAGCAAATAAACAGAAAGAACATGGAGCAAAGAACAGGACCACTGTAGGCAGAATGGCTACAAAGCCTAGTTATCTGTAGAGCTGACTTTGCTTTGTTCTTGTGGTCTGAAAATAGGCAAGTAAGATGAATATCAGAACTATTCTCTGGCTGCTGTCTAGACAGTGCAAACTGTCCACTTCTCACTGGACTCTCAGGACTGGGCAGGACACAGAAAACTGGTTTCAGGAACAAATGCATGGACTACTTTGGGGAGGGAATTCCGTATATGATGGCTGTACTTAAATAACAATTGTTGACCTTTGTCATATAGGAAGAGAAGTAGTTTAAGCACACAGAATAGCCTCTACAGCAAATAAGCTGGAAAGATGAGACATCAATGGGTTTAAAGAGCAATAAAGAAAAAAAAATATTTCACGTGTTACAAACAGCAGATTCAACAGTGATTAAGAATACTCCAATGTGCTCAAAAGCAGCAGGCCTCTGACCAACTGCAGCCTGATGAGTTAAGTTTCAGGAAGATCAGAGAAGCTGGTTACAGTCAAGACAGAAATTGATGAGAGTTTTAATTTCATGAAGAGAACAAAAGGACTCTCTGGTTATCGGAACTGGAGGAACTGCTAAGATATGAAACTTGTTTGAATGCCTGAGGCTAGATTAGCAGGACTGGCTGCTTGCCAATAAAAGGAGGCAAAACAGAACTAATCTTATTTTGGATATATTATCTTCAAGATGGCAGCATGACACATTTCTCTATTGGAAAAACACAGTTAATGATCTTTAGATTAGATGGATAGAAACAGCAGAGAAAGAGCAAGAAAGGAAAGTAGATGTTCAAACAGAAGCTTTATTCTCTTCCTAGAGAGGTCCAGAAAAAGAGGTAACAGAAGAATTTATCAGAAAGAAGATCAGAGGATTAAAAAGGCAGAACAAGATACAGGAAGCAAGGTGTTAAAGCACAGTGCCACCCAGATTCAGAACATGTAAGCAGATTTAGAAAGCAACTGTGAGATGATTTAGATCTGTGCAATAACTGAGAGGCAAGAATAACACATTATGAGAGCTCCTAATCACACTATTACTGACAACCAAGCAAGATGGAATATATCTTTTTGCTTCCCTCTTCCCATGAGAGAAGAGCTGACAGGTTATTAACTGCCTTTCAGCTTCCTGGTCCCTGCAGAATGACCCGGCACCAGTGGCCAGCATAGAAGATGTGAAAAGAAAGACTGCAGCAGTAATAGACAGGAACCGAGACCAAGCAGCTGCTTAAAACACAAGTGGGGCATTAATTTTCTTTGAATTAATGATTCTTGCATATCAAAATCATAGACTCAGTATTTTACAAAAACACTGAATGTCAGTAGTGGCAAATGATTGAATAAAAGTTGTCCTGTTTCATAGTGTGAGAGGTTTCTTTGTTGTATTAACTCTGTCATCTGTAACCTGTACACTCTCACCCACAGGCACCACATGGTCTTATGGGGTTTTTCCAGCTTTGGGCAGCCTCTCTGAGGAGAAGATAGGGCTTCTCTTTGACTGGCACAGCCAGCTCCAATGGAGAAGGGCACAGCTGAGCACCTCAGCCAGATGGGTCAGAGGAGGTCAGTGGAGAAGGGAGAGGAGGTGTTCCAGGCACAGGAGCAGAGATTTCCCTCTAGCCCCTGGAGGAGACCATGGTGGAGCACACAGACACACTGCAGCCCATGGATGACCCCATGAAGCAACAAGCAGATATTTCCTGAAGGCACTAAGACCCACAGAGAACCCATGGTTGAGCAGATTTTTTTGCTGAAGGGAAAGCAGCAGCCCATGGGAAGCACCCCTCATGGAGACGGGGAAAAGAGGAGAAAGGAGTGCTAGAGAGCAACTGTTATGACCACAACCCCCAGCTCCCATCACCCTGTGCCGGTTGTGGAAAGTGGGAGGAGGCAGAGGAGTTCGGAATGAAGGAGTGAGGCTGAGCCTGGGAAAAAAAAAAAAGGGGGGGGGGGGGGGGGAGTGGAGCAGGGAGGTCTTATTTTAATTGTTGTCTTTGTTTATCACTATCTGAATCTATTTACATTGGCAACAAGTTAAATTAATTATCCTTAAATCAATTCTATTTTGCCCAAGATGGTAACCGGTAAGCAATCTCCTGGTCTTTACCTCGATCCGTGAGCTGCTTCATCTATTGTCTCCCCTATTCTGCTGAGGAAGGCAGTGAGGGAGGTGTTGGGTGGGCAGTTGTAGCTGGCCAAGGTCAACCCACTTTATATACCACTGTGACAGTAATCTGTACCATTTTATTGAACTGATGTAATCAATACCTGGCTATTACAGCAGATTTTACACCTGTGGGCTACCTCTGCTATGCTGCTTTTATGTTCCATTGATCTTTATTTCAAAAAAGATGGCTACAACGTCAATAGGTTTGTAATTAGTCCAATTAAAACATCTCTTAAGAACTGACCTCAAGTTTTGTACTTGTCTTCCTACAATATTTTCAGATATTTGCCAACAAGAAGACAAACACAAACACTCCCCCCCCCAAAAAATACCCCCCAAAACCCCAAACAAAACCAAAACCAAAACCAAACAAATAAAAACCAAACAAATAACTGAAAAATATAGCAATCTATTGTTTCCAGAGCACAAGGAACCAGCTTATTCTCTATTTGAAGGTAGCTTTTACAGGACTATGGTAAACAGCTTGCAATATAGATCAAACAAAATATGACACCTTTCCAGCAGACTTTTTTCTAGGTTTCAAATCGAAATATGCTTACAGAGGAAAAGAGATTAAAATATTATGGTTGTACTAGTTTTAATCTCTGCTGTAAAAGAAGAAAGCTCTTTAAAGCCAAAATTCTCTAACATATTCCACATGGAATACCCTTCCAAATGTACCCAAGTTTGCAAGCTATGAATCCGAAAGGAGCCTCAGAAAATACAGGATTTTCTTTTTTCTGTAAGAGATATCACAAATATGATTTAGCTTTTCTTTGACATTTCTGAATTTCAGTTTCAATATCACTATCTTTTGGGCATCTTACCTCCTTCTGCACGTTTCTCATCTTTGACACAGGTACCATTTAAAGACCCATTTGGATCACAGGAACATGGCTGGCATGGATCTGGGCTATCTGGCAATACCTATAAAAATAAAGAGAATACAAAACAAAATCTTTCTTTTAATAATTGGAAAATTTTATTTACTTCATAAACAAAATGTAGGAGAGAACGACTCTGTGTAGGTAGCTTGCACTTTAACAGAAATGAGATGGTTGCCAAACTTAGTTCATGCAGTCTAGGACAAGAGGAAATGGCTTCAAGTTGCACAGAGGAGGTTTAGATTGGATATCAGAATTCACCAAAAGGGTTGTCAAGCCTTGGAATAGGCTGCCCAGGGAAGTAGTTGAGTCACCATCCCTGGAGATATTTACAAGATGTGAGATGTGGTGCTTAGAGACATGGCTTAGTGGTGGACTTGGCAGTGTTAGGTTAATGGATGGACTTGATGATCTTAAAGGTCCTTTCCAACCTGAATGATACTATTATTCTATTATTAGTTATTAGTTTGTTATTTATTAGTCTATTATTCTATTAAAATTTACATGTTGGGTTTTTATTTAGAAACATGTAAGTAATTTAGATACAAATATGTTTTAAACTAAATTAAACAGGTGTAGAGATAATAAAAAAACCCTGTAAAATTGAAATCTACAAATGTAATGAAGTACATTTTAAGCATTCACTACCTAAAGTAATACTGACGAACAGTTCAGTTGTTCTCGTAAACATGATTCAAAAAACTAACTAAAGTTAGTCCGTAACTGAACAAAAAAGATAAGTGAAAAAAGTGAACATTAGACAATAGAACAATTTCCTTCTATTCTTGAAAATGTTACCTCAAACTTAAACCTTGGTCTAATATCACACTGGGAATATGAACTGGAAGTTCTGCATGAACTAGGCATATACACACAGTATAAATACCCTATACACACACACATATATAAAATCCGTATTAGTTGATAGGAGCAAATCAGAGGAGAAAATCAAGTGTGTGCCCTGCTAAAGAGATCATTACTCTTTTTCTCAAGCTCTAGGGCTAAAACTTGGATATTGGGGAGAATATAATTATTGTTATTAGCTGATGTTTTCTGAGTTTGAAGATTGGAAACCAATCATACTAAAGGCCATGATTTACCCAACTGAAACTATATAAAGTATCAGGAATTTAAGCACACACCAATAGTGTAACTGTCCAAAGCACAAGCACAACCCATATTTGCAATACATCCTAATATGATTCATCTTCTGACAGCTTCAACTTAGATGAAAATACAGCTTTATGTGATGAAGCACAAAAACCAATTCCCACTAAACTGAAAATTAAAGGCATTAATAAGACACTATAGAATTTCAGTGGTTATTAATTCTGCATTTAAAAAATAAAAATTAGTCTTTCTCCAGTATCAAATATAGCAATATTTCTTTCATCTCTGATAACGAATCTTCAAATTCAAAACTGAAGCAAAATTTCTGTTTGCAGGATCACATCCTCTTTTAAATTAAATTGAAATACTAGCTGGGGGACCTGACCTCAAGTGCATTCCATCACATCAACACAATTCACTTTCCTTTTCTGTGTGCATTAACTTCATAGAGTTCCAGCTGTGAAGAGAAACTCCTACACTGTCAGAATTAGAAGTTAACCTTCATAAAATGGCAGCCCAAACTGTGTCGTCCCTTTTTAATAACTTAACTCCCCTGCTGAAATGGTGGTTTCAACACCGAGCTTTACAGTGAAGTGACAACAGAACACGCGTTTACCCCTTTAGGTCTGAAGTAACCATCAATGCAGGTCTCGCAGTTTATTCCACCAGTGTAGCTGGTACAATTCACACACACTCCACCCCCAATGTATTCTCCATGGACATTCAAACTCTGATTTCTGTCTGCAACATCCTGATCATAGTAACACTCCTCAGTCTTCCCATGACAGTTGCATGCTAAAGAGACAGAACTGTGTTAGTGAATACTTTCTGGCTGGTGGCGGCGTGCTGTTACTAAGGTATTAAAAAAGAGTCTTTCAACCTTTTATCAGAGGTGCTGCACACATTGTAACTGAGAGGACACGCAAGCATTAATTTACTACTTTGGCTGTGAAAAGTAATGTGCTCCCATCACAAACATAGCCTGGAATTCTGTATATTGGGGTTTTTTTTGACTCAATGTTTTGTCTGGGGGAGTGTGGAATTTGACAAATATAGCTCATTTTGGTTTACAGGTTTGGTTTTGTTTTTTTTTTTTCACTTAAACCTTGTGGCTGCATACACAAACAGTTCATGGAAGAGTTGGTTAATTTAAAGTACAACAGGAATTGTAAGGAAAGCAACAGAAAGGTATGAACAAATTAAAATAATTTCCATGAAAGCTTTCCATAAGAACTGAGTCAGAATAAAAGGATTTCCAATCTTAAAATTTTTTAGAAGTTCAGATTTGAACTCTTAGGCTTCAGGTCCACATGCAGGAGAGGTAATGTAATAATCTGTTGCTGAAAAAATGAGGTAGCTCTCTCTCTCCTTCTCCCTGTGGTATTAAAACATTCATTTCCATATAAAGAGAAATTCAAAGCTTGTCAACATTGTAGGGAGTCATTCTCCTCACATCTGAACCAGATCCCAGGGAACTGTTTCCACCATGAAAGTACAACAATTCACTGAGAGTTGAACAGAGTTTAAGCAGTGTCTTTCAAAAATTAAACATGAAAATAAATGTATCCCGATTTCATTCCAGAAAGCATTCCCAGTGCAGACACAGCCCCTACTGAAACAAAGACCCCTTTTACCAAAGTTTACAGGATACAAATAAGCAATTGCTACTTTTAATATGGGGATATGTTTCTTCTTATATATTTTTAACCATTCGTGGTAAAACTATAGCTGCAATCCTACAACTGAATAAGTACTTAACATGTAATGGAGTGCTAGACTTTATTATGTTCAGAAATATAACTGGTATGTGACCTTTGGAAATAAGATGTTAAAGTTCAATTATAACTACCCTTACCACAGTAAAGATGAAAATGAATTTCCCACCCCATGGGAAGGTGATATTTCCAGGCATGTTTTCATTCCATGTTAGAAAACTAGCTACATTGTTTTTTCCATTAAAAAAATGAGAAACTCAAATTGGATTTTGACCATGTAGAAATATTTTGTTTAAGTGAGGCTGAACATTATAATATATAAAAGTCCCATTTATACAAAAATCGTGCTGCTAAAGTTTGATATAATCAATCCTGTTATTTTATCAAAACCACCATGATTACAAAAATTAAACAAGTTAAAATGATTTTTTTATACAGTATTCCACCAGTATTAGCATGTTAAAATAAAATATTCTGAGTTCAATAAAACCATGATTCTACATGTAATTTTTCTGTTAACTCTTTTGAGCCAGTCCAAATAAGTGAATAAGATCATGTCAAATTTTATTCATAAACAAATGTTGTCAGAAATAAAATCAATTACAGAATGATGTAGGACCCTATTTCAGTTTTCACCAGCAGTTGCAGTAAACTTTCTCTTCTGTGCTGCTTTCAACTTACGTTCACATTCATGCTTAACCAGGAAAGTGCCAGCATGCCAAGGCTTTTGATTGAAACCAGGACAACAGTGATCACATGTCTCTCCGCATGTGTTGTGCTCACACTGACAGATGGATTTCTAATTTAAAAGAAAAACAAATATTTATACGACGTGATGATTTGAAGAATCTGTCCATGTACATAATCTGCATTCCAGTTCAAATTATGAAAACAGTAACATTAGGAATGGCTATACTCTGTAATTCCTCTGTTCATTCATTTTAATTCATTTATGTATCCTGCATTCACCAAGTGAGAGACAAGAGTGTGTTTAACTTCTACAGCTCTATTTTAAGAAAACAGCCATGAGGCAAAAGACAGTTGGCCAGAGAACCTAAGGAGAATTTAAGAATTTAGGAGAATCTAATTGCATCTGGCTGAAGAAAGGAGGATGGGAGAATGAAAGTTCCCCAATACAGTAAATAAGCCAAACTACTGGTAGCCCTTGGGTATAGCTTCCATTACAGGAAATCTGATTGCTAGCTTACACGAGAAGGAGTGAGCCATTCTCCACCCTTCTCTTAGATGCAGCAACCCTGCAGCTGCAGAGTGAAATCAATTCTGTTGGATGATAATCCAATAAAAATTGGCTTTTCTTTTAACTTTAGCATTATTTTTTATTGTATGAGTCAACTCATCATGTAACCTTCTAACTGAGTAACTAACTCTATGTGTGGGATAGCAGCAGTTTTAAAACTAGTAACAGATGAGAGCAGGACCAGCCATTCAGTCACTTCTCAGTTCCTCAGCAGACCACCTTAGTCCCAGCACGAAAATGCTGCTGTAGAGAATACCCAGACTCTCTGAGCCACAGAAGCAGCTTGGAAAAGATAAACTGTAGTTTGGAGACATAAGGAGCAATAGTTCAGTGGAGGGGCTCTTGTGGTGCCACTCAAGGTGGAAACAGCAAGCTAACCTGGACAAATTCTGTGGCTCACAGGACAAGGCATCAATCTTGCAAAACCAGATTGATTTAAGGAATGCTTCAAAAAAGTGAGGCAGTAAATTCAAGCAAGTTTATTTTTTGAATGCTAGGGGAAAGATCTCTTATGCTAATAATTACAGCCATGATGTTTATAAGCCAAAGTCCACCTAATTTGCTATGGCTCAGTCTAAAGAGTATCCCTGAAGAGCTAAAGCAAATAGTCCAAATCTCTTATGGCTTGAGTTGTTTCTCTTATGCTATTTTTTTATACCAGTCAGACAACAAATACCTATTTATTATCCTGCAAAACAAGACACCACACTTGCCAAAATGCCTTTATTTTATCTAGTAGCCAAATATCTAAACTCAAGTATGTATTAATTTCGGTAACAGCACTTAACTTTCTGAGGGAAGACCAATTCTAACAGATGGCACTGAAGCAATGCTGCAGTTCAATAACTAAGGCCATATGAAACAATAGTTCAACAATTGCTATGCACATCGTCATAAGCTTAGATATATTAAACCAAGGAGTTTCTAAAATTTTCACAAGGACCCATGGAAACTACTTAGAACTGTAAATGCATTCTCTATAAGATTTCTTCCTTTTGTTTAGAGTTTTTTATCAGCTCCTACACCACGGCTTAATGTCATATATAAACAAGATTTTCTGCTAAATCCTACAAAGCTCCTGAAGTGAATAGTACATGAAGAGATCCCACATTGAGGCACTTTAGTAATACTAGTAGATTGGAAATTTTGTGTAAGTAATAACGTGTGGATAGATTTGGACTGTCAGAAACAAATTATATTTCTATATTTCAATTACATTGGTTATATGTTTTCTAATGGCACAAAAAGAAAGCTACAAGTTGGAAGACATTATGAACAGCTCATGACTTTCTAGACTAGCTTAACTGATTACTCAATTAACATTTCCTGCATAGTAAATGCAGCATTATACAGCCATTACGTGTTTGCAAGTATCGATTAAATACTTGACAGTCAATTAGGAAAGACCTTGATTAATATCAAGAAGAAAGACTGACTGTTAGTGCTCATCTCTCCAACTACATAACCAAAATTTCTGATGTTCATAGGAAACGTTCAATATGGACTGAATTAGCTAAAATCTACTCTTTCAGAAAAAGCCCCCACTAACATTCTATGAATGGTTATTATTGCGGTTGCCAGCAGTGTTTCATCCTGGCACTGTTTCTGACTGTTCTAGGTGAAGAACAGACTTAAATTCACAGAACTTTGAGGATTATCAAGATCTTTCTCTCATGTTCCACCCTATGAATAAGGCACATCATAAGGCACATTAAAGGAAGAAAAAAGAAAAAAAAAAAAAGAACATTGAAAAATACATACATTGGTCACTGGATCCAATGGACAAGCCTTTGCATGGCCTGAACATATACACATGCCTCCAACAGAGATATCTTTTATAGAATAGTAATACTGTAAGACAAAGCAGAAATTGAATTGCTAAGTGGATTGTAAAACGCAGGTGCCAAACTACAGAATTCATTTCTGGTGACAAAACTGTCAGATCCTGTTTTATTTCTTTTTTGATCTATTACAAATATAGCAGAAAATGTAATCCAAGCCACATCTTGATCAACAGATTCAGGCTTAGTGAAAGAAAGGGTATAAATTGGCACAGTTCCATTTGTTTGAAGTCACAAGAGCCATGTCAATTTATACACAGCATACACCAAACACGAGAATAGGAAAAGGCTATATGCACACTGGATAATGAAAAGTCAAATGCTATCAAATTTACTCCCTTCAGAAAACATGAAAAGGAAAAGGCATGATGATGGGGAGAAGAGAAAGGCTAGAACAAAAACTAAGAATGAAACACCTTTGTTCACCTCATCTGGGTTTTACTTAGGTATTCACTGGACTGTGGAAAGAACTGTTTTTCTCTATTGGCCTTTTGAATGACTATGGAATAGTCTTCATTACTGAAATGTAAATAACATTTGAAGTGTTGCTCTGCCATTTGACCATTTCTGATTCTTCTTTGGAGGGGATTAATAGCCATTACCAGAAAGAAGGATGGAAAGATATTTATAATCATGTATTACAGTATCTGCAAAAAGTGTATCTCACATGCCATCTTGTTCATTTTCATCTGTTTTGGCGAGGGTCCTGTAGCGTCCTAACAATTGGCTAACCAAAATACACATATGCTGTTTGCAAATTTTGCTGGTTTTGTGTTCAACCTCTTTTTCAAATCATCAACAAATACATCAAACAAACAGGAACTCGTATAACTCACAGTTAGTCTTCTACCACATAGAAAACGTATCATTTGTGGCTATCCTGTTGCCCATTTTGTGGGATAGTGGCTTGTCTAATATCTTCTATGGGGAAAGCCAGATGAGGATGGCAAGTTTCAGTTGCTCCTTGTTCCTTTGAGGACAGACTCATGGAGGGATGTCATACAGAAGTTACTGTTCTTTGTTAGTTTGAGAAACTGCACCAGGTTTTCATGAGTATACAGCGATTTTTAAAGCGTTAATTCAATTTTGTGCTTCTGTTCACTTAGAATCAGGCTACTAAATGTGCTAAATGTGCCCTCTTACATAAACACACAGTTTCCATGATTAGTGAAGCTGTAATAACTGCACTCAAGTAGAAGACTTTCCAGGTTTGTAATACAAAACAGAATGGCACATTCCAAACTTTCAGAAATAGCCAGCACTCTGTGTATTTCGTAGAAGAAAGGGAAACTAGAAATACGGAACAGAAGAAGCAATTTTTCTTTGCAGTTATCTATCATGAATAAATGATATTAACTAAAGCCAAGAATAGCATTACTTCCCCTTCATAATAGGACTTACTATAGTGGTACCCTAAACTTTCCAAAAGAAAAATAACATGATCAACAGAAAGAGGAAGTGAACAGAAAGAAAAAATGTCAAAAGGTATACATTCCCCAAAGCAGCTTTTAAGAATGCTTTGTTGAAAAATCAGAGGGAAACATGCAACATTTGAGCAGCAGGAAAATGGGGAAATGTGGCATAGAAAGAAAGTATAGATTGCAGAAAGAAGAGATAGGTGTGTGCACACACAAGGAACAGTGGAGAAGACCAGGGTATGTTGTAAGTTTGAGTGCTGCATTCATTCTTTTAAGATAAAGCACAATGTAAATTTTTTGCTGTTAGCCACAATTATATAATAATGCTAAAGAGGCTGCATGCAGGCCTGACTACTAGTCACAGTACCACTAACAGAAAACAAGTGTTCAAGGAACATTAAAGGTAGCTAAAGACTGAGCAGCTGAAGAGGCAAGAGGACATTCTCTAACAACAACCACTTGCTAATTAACTTACATCCAAATATTTGCAGCCAAAGGAGCTGTGTGCTCCTTAGTAAGCATGTTATATATGTCAGTAACACCATTAGGCAGTAAAAATAAAATTGTTACTTCTGCTATAGAGAAGATAACAAAATACTGTGAAGAGGGAATCCTCTAACGCCAGGATTTTGACAGATAACAACAGCTATTGTCTCCCAAAATTTCCTATGACAAATAAAGGCAGGTACAGCATTTGTAAGTGTAGGAGAACTTCTACACATGCATTTCTATTGTCTTGACAGAACTTACCCTCCTTGTAACAATGGGATCAATTTCATTTGGATCTTTGTGTGCAAACATCATTAAATCAGCATTTAGTGTCCGTATCCTCTGAAATCTCAGGCGAATAAAGCGAGCAGAGGTGAATTCTAGTAGTACACGTGAAGGATCATCAGCACTAGGCCGTCCATTAATTAGAGAGGTGTGAATCTGAAGAGAGAATTATTAAAGCAATAAGGAATCCAGTGACAGCAATGCTGCCATGATTATACCAACAAGCATCATTACAGGCACTGTGGGAATGCCTCTGTAAATGTGAAGTATCTTCTTTCTTTAGAAAGCAGATTTACCCAAAAAATATTCCATGTACCCACAGACCCCAGTTATGGAACTGTTTTATAGTAAAAATTCATCATCAAGGAAATTCATCAGCCACAGAAAGGCTGTAGCACAAACTACATACATGTTCCAAGGCCCTACAACACTGTCCATGCTGCAGGCAATTCATTTTTTCTCATCTAGTCTAAAATAGGTATTTTCAAGTTACCAAACAATCAAAGGATTAAAAAAATTTGAGTTAAAGGAATGGATACTTGGAATAGGTCTCAGAATTCAATAGGGGTCAGTTTGGATCTCTTAGAGCAGTCACAATCAAAAGACTTTTGAACTGGGAGTTTTCTAAAGCCAGGATAAGGTAACTTTTGAAATACTGAAAACTACATCTAGTTGAGACAAAATAAGCATTCATAAGCATCTCCCTTTTCCACTGTCTCTTTACACAATGTGTCATTTCCTTTGAATCTTGTTCTCAGTGAGTTGAAGCAATTTCCTGGGTTGCAACTATCTTCACCTGGTCCCTAAGGAAAATCTTTATCACTTCTGAGAACTCTGTTCAGCATTTGTTTTTCCAAAGATGCTATCAATCTCTGCTTACACTGTGGTTTCCATAACAATTGCCTCCCTTTCTCTGCCTGTCCTATTCTACAGCCTAGAAATCTTCTAGGTAAGTGTGCTCTGTAGCTTTTTCACAAAGTCTCTCCGACCCGAACTGCAACATCAAAAGCAATGTAACAAAAACAAGCAATTCTTCTTCCCCTCCTGTCTGTTTAGCTGATCATGGCCTACATTAGCTGTGAATCCACAAAATAAAACAGATGGGCTGCCACAGAATTGTTCGTGGAAAAGGCCTACAAGAAGAATGTCAGGTATAGCAAAATATTGTTAATGAGCACCTTGAGGGAGGAAGGAAAGAAACCATTAATCTTCCTGTATTCTGAAGTGTTAAATTTTAATTGAGGTATTTTTATTACAGGCTGGCATACTGAAAGAATGTTCAGATGTGCGGAACATTATAACAAATAAGAGAAATATTTATTCTTTGCAATGAGCATGTTGTGTACCTTTCCTTGGTGCTCTGAGCGAGAGGTCAGGCCACATAGCCATTTTCTATCATTCAACATGATCATATTTTCACTGTTTTAGGCAAACAGCTGCCCTCAGAATGCCAGCTGGCACTTACTCAGCAGGGGCTGCTGCACACCAAGGAAAGCGAGAGCAATTCTACTGCTCCCAGCAAAGCAGTAGCTCTTCCTACAGGTGCTGGATAGAAGGCTTATTGTGCAACTGCTCTCTTGCACTGGCTATGTGATATTATTAACTTATTTATTTTAACTACTAACAGGGATACCCTAAATCCCATCATATCCAGCATCTTGATCCACTGTATCCACAGGTACAGAAAATCACTGGGAGCCACTCTTCCTGGAGGAACTATCAGTCAAATCTTGACTAAGCATGAATTTGTACCTCTAGGATTCTGCCATGTTACCTCCAGGGATAAGTTATTTTGCTCCCTCACCCCTGAGATCATAACAACCCTTTCACTTCAAGCTCTGACGCAGTTTTGCTCCTGACTACAAGTAATTAAATTAAAGGAGACAGTTGGCTGGAAACGAACAGAATAAAATGCTATGAAAAAGACAGGGTACAAACAAAAGATTATTATAAAAATACCAGACGAGGCAAGGAGGAGGTCATGAATGAGAAATGTCTGGCTACAACCAGGACAAAAACACATAACCAGAGAAAGCAAGTCCCTGTTGAAAAGTGAAAGAGAACATGTGTGGAGAGTAAACTTCAAAAGAAGCCTGGAGACGGTGGCAAGAGGTCTAGTGGAAACTGATAGATCTTTCTAAACGAAGCAAGATTTTAGAAAGAACACATGCCTAAAGACTTCTTTGCACAGTATTTACCCATGAGCAAGGAATTACATTTCTTTTGAGTGGGGTTTTTTTTTCACATTCTTACCTCCTTCCTTTAAATAGGATCCAGGAGATTTCTTTTTTACAGGAATCAAACATAAATGGGTTATGCTGTAAAGTGGTAGAATACTAAAGACTGAACTTTGATATTCTGAAGATAAAGAAGAAATATGTCTAGAGTAGTGCTCAAAATATCCCCTAACTCACCCTGAAACAGTGGCTATAAGCAGCATGACAGTCTGACTACCTTCTCAAAAAGACAAAAAATCAATCTTTCAGGGTGTAGAGAGAGAGAGATGCAGGTGAAAGACCATATACCAGAATAAGCAAGAGCCCACAGAAAGTTAAAAGTATGAATAACAGATACAGCTTGACCCCAAATGACACAGCTGACAAATAGCAGTCATATCTTTTGATTTATCTTTTCTTTTCTTTTTATTTTTTTTTTTTTTTTTTTAAGAAGAAATTGAGTCTTAAGACACCTGGAGTGGTAGTTTTACATAATTAGAATGTAGACTGACAAAATAAAACAAGAAGCATCCTTTTCAGAATAGGCACCCTTTTTAAAAGGTTTCATGAATCCCCTTTTTAAAAGGTTTCATGGATCTATCTGCCAGCAGCACACCTATTTGTCAAGGCAAAACTAGTAGAGATGATGGCTTCCATTTATATTGTCTTTCATGCTTGTGTTTAAATGTTTCATTATTTCATTTTAAAACAACAAATAATTTCTAATAATTATTGAAATGCAGCTATGTCCTGCATGAAATGTGGCACCTGTTCAAACATGTACACCAAAATGACACTGAGATTAGAAAACTAAAACTGGGTAGTTTTATCAAAATGAATCTGAAAAAAAATTTTACGTAGACAAAATTAATTACTTTAAATTATTTCTCCTTCTCCCAACATTCGTGATGAAATCATTAATTTCTCCCTAGAAACATTTAGTGATAACTTGAAGAATGTCCAACTAAGTTGTTCCTACTCCTTGAAAAGAGAATAAGGAAGAAACAAAGAGTACTTCTGGAACATCTGTAATTAATCAGGAATAAACTGTAAGAATTTTAAATAACTTTTTTTTTTAGGAAGTTTAACTAGAAATCAGACTTATAATATTTTCAGTATGACTCTCACAGTGAAACTTCACTGTATTTTTCCAGAGCATACATTCTTTTTACATTCCCCTCCACAATCCTGCACCTATTTGTGAGACACTTCACGTAATAGCACATTTTCAGTCAAGACATTAACATGGCCCCTGCCCTCCAAATATTTTTTAATAAGGTCTGAAAACTGCTCCAGTGAACACAGTCCTCAATATCCACCCACCATATGCCATCCAAGATCATCACAGTACTTCATGTATAGCTCCGAGTCGTGCAAAGACTAGCGCCACTTTCACACAGACAACAAAAGCACTGATGTCCTGCACTAGCTGTACACATATTGCAGAATAAGCTACACAGGAGTTCTACAGCAGAGCTAAGATCCAAAGCTGAGACTAGCAGGAAAATATCAGTACTTTAATCCACACATTGGGTTGCTACAATTTGGATAATCCAAGTCCCCTGAGGGAACAATCTCAAATTTTGCTCAGGTTCTATTTACCAGTTCCAAGATTGAGGTAATCCGCATTTTGGATTCTAAATCTAAGCTATGTAGATTTCAACCCCGGGAAATTTTTCCTTAAGAAGAAATTTTCCCAGGATTATATTCCAACAAATAGGATCTTTGGGGAAAATGAGTATTCCCTTACAAAACATTTAAAAGTTAACACAATGAAAACAAAAATCTCATTTTGTAAAATCATATTGAATAGTATCTGATTTGTCAAGCAGTTCAATAGTCAGAACTATTCAAGCAAAAGTGTATGATGAAATTTTCCAGTAACTGCATTACTGTATGTTCAAAAAGATTATACCACAGAATGGTTGAGGTTGGAAGGGACCTCCAGAAGTCATCTGATCCAGCTCTGCAGGACCACATACAGATGGCTTTTGCCTATCTCCAATGATGGAGACCACAACTTATGTGGGCAACCTGTGTCAGAGCTTTATCACCCTCACTGTAAAAAAATGTTTGTCAATATTCAGACAGAACCACCTGTGTTTCAGATTTAATTCTAACTGGGCCTTAGCTTTCCTAACCTGGTCCTTGGCTTCCTGGACAACGTTCCTGTAATATTCCCAGGCTGCCTGTCCTCGCTTCCACCTTCTGTAAGCTTCTTTTTTCCCTCTAAGTTTCCTCAACAGCTCCTTATCCATTTATGGAGGTCTCCTGGCCCTCCTGCCGCACTTCCTTTTAGTCGGGATGTAACACTCCTGAGCCTGTAGCAGGTGATCCTTGAATACCATCCAGCACTCTTGGGCCCCCCTGCCCTCTAGGACTATATCCCATGGAACCTTACTAAGCAGGTTCCCGAAGAGGCCAAAGTCTGCTCTCTTGAAGTCCAGGGCAGTGAGCTTGCTGCATGCCTTTCTCACTGTCCTGAGGATCTCAAACTCGACCATCTCATGGTTGCTACAGCCAAGGTTGCCCTGGATTGTCACATTCCAAACAGCCCCTCCCTGTTGGTGAGCACAAGGTCAAGCATGGCACCTCTCCTTGTCGGCTCCTCTATTACTTGCAAGAGGAAGTTGTCTTCCACACAATCGAGGAACCTCCTGGATTGCTTGTGCCGGGCTGTCCCGTCCCTCCAAGAGGTATCAGGATGGTTGAAGTCCCCCATGAGGACAAGGGCCTGCGAACATGAGGCTGCTCCTATCTGCCTGTTTGTGCCCATTGTCTCCTGTTCTGCCACTGGGAACAACTGAAAGAAGCCTGGCTCCATCCTCTTTGCACTCTCCTTTCAGGTATTAAAATACATTGGTGAGGTCTCTCTGAGCCTTCTCTTCTCCAGGATGACCAGTCCCAGCTTTCTTAGTCGTTCCTCACAGAAGAGATGCT